CCAAAAGGAAGCATTCTTAATTTGGTGGCTTTTGTGAGACCTGCCATGTGTGTAACACGTAGGAGCCATGTGAGGAGCACGACTGCTGCTGCCCGTTGTGCTGATGGGTGCACTGATGGATGCCCAAATTAATTGTGCTGGGGCAGGAGGGTGTTCCTGCCCTAACGCTGCTGCTCCGAGCCTGCTGTTAGAGGAGCCCAGAGGCAATCTCTGTCCCCAGAGAGCTCCCGCTCAGCCCTGATGGATGACCTCCTCTGCCCCCACACCGCATGCACGTTTTGTTCCATGAATGAGGGGGAAATTAAGGAGCTTAATCTGACAAAGATTTAGTGGCAGGAGAGCGTGGCGTGGCCCTGTGCACAGGCAAGGCTCCGTTACAGAGCTTGGCTGCAACAGAGCAAACACGAAGGTAACAAGTTCATTACAGCTCCAGGAATAGGAAGGGTCGTTGCAGGTGTGGGGATGGGATGAGCTGCTCAGGCTTCACGCACACAGGGCAGTTTGGGGAGCAGCAGGGTGCCTGGGCAGCACGCCGTTCCCGTGTTCTGCCTTTCTGAGTTAAATATTTTAATTCTCAGAGTAGTAAGAGGCTGCTGGATCAGCCCTAGGCTTGGCCGAGTCTCCCCGCTGAAAGTGGTGTTCTCTGCGCTAACATCTGTGTACGGATGTTTATTTTGGGATGAAATGAGTTAAGTAGCTGTAAGATACACCAGCAGAGTGCTTTCTGGTATCCTGCAATGCCTGATGATGGTTACGTATTAAGTGAGATTCCCCACTGAAGCAGGGAACTCAAATACCCGAGGCGTACAAGTTTTATTCCTGGGACATACCACAGCCTAAGCCACAACAGCAAAGCAAGCTGCTTCGGGAAAATCGTTCTGTAACTGGCAACTGGCTTCCAGCTCGGTCTGTCCGGTAACTCGAGCAGCTCTGATTTGTTCCGAATCCCAGAGTTTTTTTTACCAGACTGCTTGTTTGCCTTTGCGGGCCCAGGGAGCGGCATTTTGAAACGATTAAAAGGCGCTGCCTATTGTGTTCTTAAGCAACTTGAAATGTGACTGATGTGTGTTGCAGCCACGTTCTTCTGGAGTTTTCCCAAAGGGGAAGAAATATTTCCTTCCAGAGCCGAGCAGCGCAGAGCCAGCGGATGGGGCGAGGGACAGTGAAGTCAGGAGGTGCTGGACCGTGTCTTGGCAGTGCTGTGGCCTCTCCTTGCCCAGCTCCAGGTGCAGAAGGGCTTCTGCTTCATGGACAGCAAAGAAATGTCGCTGTCAGTACCCCCCTGCTCACACGGGGCTCTCCCAGGTGCCTGTAAGAGTAAGATTTTACCCCCCTTAGGGGCTGGTGTGGTCCCACTGAGTTAGGACCGCGTCCCAGGCCACGACGAAACCCCTGGGCTTGGCATTTATTTGGGAGCTGAGAGGGGCTCCTGGGTTACTGCACTGCTTGGGATTCCTGGAAGGGCATCCAGGGAATTGGTGGTTTTTGTTGAGCATGCCAGTGGGGCAGGGTGAAGGTGGAACAGAGAGCTGCTTCTTCCTCCCACAGGGCTGGTGGTGCTCGGGGAGTGCCAGCGTGTCATCGTGGTTTGTGCCTGCAGAAGGAACTAGTCAGGGGTGTGTAAGAAACAAGTCTTCAGTGAATTTGGTGATAGCCAGCCACCAACAGATAAATACCGAGCCACCTGAAAGGGTTTCTTGTTGGGTAGGAGCTCGGCACCGTGCAAGTCACCGCAACGCGGCGCACCGAGATGCACCCTAAGTGAAGAAGTATTTTAACTTGGCAGCTAATTCCTTTGTCATATATACATTACGGCGCTGCCACGTGGGGTTTTAATTGTAAACCACACTCAGGCAGCAGTCAATACGATGCTTTTCATCCCGTCCAAGTGAACGTGTACCTTCCAGAGCACCCGGCTGTTGTGCTGCGCCTTTGCTGCGCGCTGCGTCGCGCTCAGAGCGTGCGGGAGGAAACAAACAAACAACACCAGGCTGTAGGAGGGAAGCGATTAGACAAGCTTCAGCTGTTTTTTTCCCCCTCCTGAATGGCCTTCTTTCATCAGGATATGTTAGGACAAGTGCTTTTTCAAGCCAGGATATCAGTGGAAGACACAGTGTTCCGTAAAAGTCATCCAGTTCCTGGGTAGCATCCACAGAGGCGATTTCTCTGCTCCGCACAGAATGCACGACCAACCTTTTCTTTCCTTTTTCTGATTTTTATGGGCTTAGAAGCGAAAGGATGTGAGCTTTACGGCTAGTTATGAATCTTTTCGAATTTACTGACTTCTGTCTGACTCTTGGGCCGGCACAATGCTTCTGCTGTTCAAAGAAAACCAGTCCAAATTAGTATGTATAAACCCCTCCTTTTTATGCTGCTAACAAACGCTGCTTGCTTGGGCATTTATCACTGCTGCTGGGGGTCAAACGCGGGGGGTGTTCTCTAATGGTAGTATTTTTTCTGTTCTTTGGGAGATTTTAAAAAAATATATGGAGTTTAGATGTTTACTGGGACTGCAGGATTTAAAAGTGTTTTTGTTTTTTGTTTTTAAACTGGGTTGGAGTATCGTGTCTTGCCTTTTTCTCGCTTTTATTGTGCTAGCTGTCTTTTAGAGCAGTTGTGTGAAGCGACTGAGGGTGGTAAAGTGTTCCTGGAGCAGAGATAAGGGACAGTGTCGGGTAACAAAACCCCAGCCTTGGCAGCGAGGCACTGGGGTGTGCTGCCTCTCCCCACAGCCCCATGCTGGTCCCCTCCAAAACTGAGCAAATCAGGGAAAATCGGAGAGCGCAGGTGGGGCTGGGGAAGTCCGAGCAGCCTGACCTAAGGAAAGCTGCATTTTTTTAAGGTTTGCATGTGTTTTAGGAGACAACATTTAAATTAGAAGAGAAATCTTGTTCTCAGTTGTTTCTTTAGCTTTGCTTTCCAGTTCCTTTCCATGCAGATACATACATGGGGGCAAAAAGAATCGCCGTGTGGATTGTCTTTTCCCTGCTTTCTCTGCTCCTGCAGCACAGCTTTCTCACTTGCCTGCAACTGGGAATAATCTGCTTTGCTGTAGAAGATTTCCTGCCTGCAATGAAGGCGACTGTCAGGCCAGATGAACTGCTGGAGCAGGCGTTACCGCTGCCTTGGGGCAGGAGCCCTGTCTCGTCCGCGTTTCGTCCTGCTGCAGCAGTCTCCGTCAGTATTCCCCAGGGATCAAAGAACAGCCTCGGGGATATTTTTTTCCATTTTTCCCAGCAAAGTATTTCCTAAAACGCTCGAGACAGAAATGCTGTGAATGATTTCCTTGTGCGTTATCTGACCGCTCCTTTCCTCTTGCTGAAAAACCAGCTGAGTATGCGTGAGGCTGCTATCTGGCTGAATATCCTATACATTGTGGTGGTGTCACTGCTGGTATGTAACTCCCGGCCTCTTATTAACGCTTTCCTGTTAGATCTGAGGGCAGAAGGAAACAAGACTCTTCCTGGCTCACTGATGGAGTGAACCAATACTTGTCTGCAGCAGCTCTTGCCGTTGGTGCGTGCCGGGCTTTGGGATCACGAGCAGGCTGCGGGGCTGGCGGTGGGGCACGGCTTGCTGGTGAGTGCCAGGATGCTGCGGGAGTGTAAATGAAGGAAAACTGGATTTAATTAGTGCCATTGTCATGCTGGCACTTTACTGATCTGATATACAGCTTAGGGAGCCTGGAACTTGGGCGAAAATTTTAGGTTGCTTTTTAAGATGGACGGAAATCTCAAATTTAAACCTGATCTGGTGGAAAAATCTGGGAACCTTGGCTCTGTTCTCAGAGGAGAGAAGAGCTGAACTTTCAGCAGAAGCTGAAAAGGCGTGAAATTGGTGTCTGTCTCCCAAAAACACTGGAGTAGATCGGAGCGTTTGTGCTCGCTTCTAGAGGCGAAGCCCCCAGATAATCACAGAACAGACGAGTGCTGGGAGCAGAAGCTCCTGGGGGATCACTTTCTGTAGCATAACTAACTCCTGAGCAGCACAGGCTCCTCATGGGGCATTTATATTTAGTTGATAGCGGGCCGTAATTAACGGCGATCTATGTTTGGAAGTGCAGGACAGCAGAAAATTCGGCTTTGTAACCAGGAATGCCTCTTGTGCTGGTCGCTGCCTGGTGTTTTGAGTGGGGTAGGAAATGCCGGGTAAGCAGTTACTGTGGCAACTAAAAGGTAGCTTGCTCGATGTTGATTTTCAGCCTTGTGGGAAATGCTAACTTCACCACTGATGTCCAAGCCTGTTTCTAAAACGCTCGGAGGGCATTACGGCACCGTGTAATTAGGCTTGTGCTGGGTCTTACTGTAACTGCTGGTTTTGTTCAGCCTTCTCGTTAGCTGCGTTCCCTGTGTTGCTGGTGACTCTGGAAATGCAGTTTGTGTGTGCACACATCGTGACCTCCCTTCTTATCAGCAGCGTTTCTCCAGCTGGTTGTATCCAGCCAGAGCAAAGCCTTTGCTATTGTGTCGCTTGCTTTTTCCTCCTGAAATTTCAGTGCAGTTCTTTCTCTTGAGCCGCACAGGTTTCGTCTCCCCTCCCTTTCCCTGTAAACCTACAGACAATCGATGGTTGCACGTTCTTGTCTTTGCATTCTAGAGAAATTTTGACAGCTGAAATTAGCAGGCACTGGTTGACTCGGAACCTGATCTGAAGTCATTTCACAGGTCTAAGCCTGTAAAAGGACTTCCCCGCTCCTGTTTTTAAGTTGCAGAATTTGATTATCAAGTGATAAAAGTCATTCCAGTCCCTGACAGCTCAGGCAAGTACCTCCTGCGATGGCCAAGTAATAAAATGTTAGGAAAATGACACAACGCTTCATGAATAATCCTGGAGCCATGCCTCGCAAGTGGCAGGCTCAGCCTTTGGGAACAGCTTCTGGTGGCAAAATCCTACAGTGTTTTAACGAGGAGAAGCCCTTCCTTCCCTAGGCGTACAGCCTGGAGCCCACACTTTGCTGGTCCTTCCTTTCCTTTGACTTCCTCTGTCGTTTTGTTTTGCAGCCTGAGCGAGAGCTTTTTCATGGTGAAAGGAGCAGCCCTTTTCTTGCAACAAGGAAACAGCTCCCAGGGCCAGCGAAGCCTCCAGCATCCTCACAAGCATGCAGGTAGTCGATGAACTCACCGACCGAATTTCTGTTCCCTCTCGCTCCCCTGCTCATCTCGTCCACGCTGACAGCCTAATAGCAGGCGTGGGAGGGAGGATGACTCCTCCGGCTGTCACCAGGGGCCCTGCACAACCTGCTGAGGAATACCAGGTTTTCAGCCCACTTGATTCGAATGGGAACATAACGATTATCTTGTCTTTGTTTCAACTTTTGTCACTGTTTTGGAAGGGTAACTGGAGTAGAAGTGTATTCTCTGCAGACGTGATGGCGTTCTGTAGCCAGGGTCTGTGCTGAGTGTGTTTCCCTGTCTTCTGCAGCCTCAGACAAAGAAATGTCACTTGCTTCTGCTTCGGTGGGTTGATCCTTGCCTTCCCCTTTAGCCCGTGGGGAGGAAGATGCAGGGGGCTATCACGGGGCTCTAGCACCTCTTCTGGGGTTACTGAGGGCTGGATTCAGCATGGCAGTGATATTTCTGAGTGCCCTCCCAGCCTCCAATAATCTGAAGCTTGGGATTCCATATGACAGATTACAGGATGTATTTATTTATATATTTATTAAACTACCTGTTGCTGGCTTTGTTCAATGCTGCTTTTTAAAGTGAAGCACATTTTAAGTAGGATTTAGGTGTCTGTTCACAGACTTGTTTGGTAGCTCCTTACATCCCCTTTTCTAGTCTCAGAAAATCCCCCTTTCAGTTAACTGATCTCAATGTGGCCTGTAAGCATTTATCGTGGCTTGAGAACAGCCTGTCCTTCCTTCACACCCCCCTCCAGTGTCCCAAAAAGGTGGGAAGAAAGTTGTATGGTGAACGTACGTAAAGATCAGTAAGCAGATAGGGGGCTGAGAAAGGTGGATTCTGCTCGCCCTGTGTTTTTATGCCTCCTGCTGCTGATGGGTTTGGAATAAGTGATTACTCAGAAAGAAGAAATAAAATCATTGGGGCATTTTGAGTGCAGGAGCATGTGGGAAAGGCACAGTGTGGTACTGTGTGTCTGCTGCTTAGTAAACACTCCAAGCACAAAGAGGCTGTGTGAATGCCAAGCTTGGCTTCGGGTGTCTTTGATTGTCAGCAATTTCATATACCCAGCAAACATCCTACGGACGGCATTTTATCTTGTATGGAAAGTTCTGAGTGCCTCACCGAGTTATTAGATGGGAACTTGTTTTGTTTTCTTGTAGATCCTTTGTTCCCTTTGCTTGCTTTCACCAAACAGAAATGTACCCACCACTTCAGAGCCTGAGTGACTTGTGGCATGAACAGTCCTTTATTTGAGGCAGAAGGGATCACCCTGCACCCCTCCTGCAGCCCTTCCCCCAAAATTTCCCCTGTTCAGATATGCTCTCCATAAGGCCTTGTCTCCTTTGTTCCTTTTTTAATCAGAATTGTTCCTCCTGCCTCTTCTCCCCCCTGTCCTCAGGGCATGTAACTTTGTCTTCTGTATGATGCTGTAAAGGGAAGTGTCATCATTTATGCCCCTTGCAGGTGGTCCCGATGTATTTTGTAGCCCCCAGGTACCTTCCAAGCAGCTCGCTTTGGTTAGAATTCTCTGAGACAGCAGAGAATTGGCCTGCCTTAAATGTTTTTTGTTTGTTTGTTTTCACTTAAATGTCCAATTTCATTAAAAGCCCAGATTATGCCTATTCTTAGCACAAGTCAGAGACCTTTGATGATTTCCCTGCTCTCTCTGCAGGTGATTTGCCCCAGCACCTCCAGGTGATGATCAACCTCCTTCGCTGTGAGGATAGGATCAAACTGGTAAGAACAGATGCATTTTTCTTTTTGCCATTCTTTTTGTTTGAAAAAAGGCCTTTATGGGGTCACAAAAAGCATTGGCAAATCACATGTTAATTATCCCTCTAGCATAGCTAACATCTAACATATTTCAGGAAACCTCTGAGCTTGTCTCTGTTTCTTGTTCAGTGCCTTCACCATCTTTTGGGCACAATTACACCTAAAAAATACTGGTCAGCAATGGAAGTAATAATTATTCAAGAGTTGTTTTGCAGAGCTTGATTATTTTTTTCCTAGGCTGTCCGTTTGGAAAGCGTGTGGACAGACAGGGTCCGGTACATGGTGGTTGTGTACAGCAACGGGCGGCAGGACACAGAAGAGAACATTTTGCTGGGCGTGGATTTCTCCAGCAAGGAGAGGTATGTCTAAGGCAAGGCTCGGCTTAGAAATCGGGCAGGCTGGGTTGCATGGAAAGCTCGTCAACAACAAACTGTCCTGAGCAGTTAATTTTCATGTATCTGCATACTCTATCGAGAAAAGAGAGGCAATTGTTATTTTTTCTGATCATCCTGAGGGTGAGAAGGGTACTCTTTGTTCCAGAAAGCTTTCAGTCTCCTCAGAACCTCTGGGCTTGCTCTGCAGTTGTGGGCAAAGCGTTTACTTGTAATCCATCTGTAGGGCTGTGGTATTTACCTCATCTGTGGTAGTTTGCTGTCTCCTCGCTACAAAACACTTCTGCCGACACGTTTGCAGAACTGGAACTTATTTGATCCTTCGGACTTCAAGTCTGGTGATGGCATGATGCAATGGAGCTGTTTTGGGAAGGTTAGTTGCCAAGGAGCCTCAACAGCAATCCTGCAAAAACGCCTCCAAAAACAACAAACAAATGTGTCAATAATGAGCTGTTCCCTTTGTCTAACTGATAAGAGCTCAGAATATTTTGAAAGGCAAATAAAATATTTTGTTACTGCAGACCCTCTCACATCGTTCCAGTTATAGGTGAGTAAACCAAGGCAGAAAAGTTCTTGGCTTGGAGAGGTGGGGCTGCTTTTGGCAGAGCTGGAGTTAGAAGTCAGAGCTTCCAGGCTCTTGTTTCTGTTCTCCAGTGATTTAGCACTCTGCCATGGTGTGCTGAGGTGGGACTTTTGTTTTCCTTCTGGGAAACCTCAGAGGATTTAAGTGGAAAGGGGGAACTTCTGCACTGAGTCTTATTGCTAAACTCTTAGCAGTGCCTTCCTAAGAAGATTATTGTCACTGGCTTTGATGCTGCTTCTGTGTCTGCTGTTAATTACTGCTGCTGGCGTTAGGGAGCAAATTTTAACGTAGCCTTTCCTCGTGGCACACTCAGCCTGTCCAGCAGGGAGTGTTGGCCATGGCCTCTCCAAGTCCGAGCTGACCTGCCAGTACTTTGCTCCTGGTGCTGACCGGTGGGAGACAAGAGGAAAGATGAAAAAATTATGACAAAGTGCAAAATGAGCTGCTTTTTCGGTTAGTTTCCCCTGAAAGCTGGAGGTTTTGTGAATTAAGGAAAAGTTCCATGCGTAAAGAAGTCTGTTGGAGTTGGTGACTTTTTATTGAGGGACTCCGTGGCTCCATGTCGGGGATGAAATGTCACTGCTCAGCTGTAAGTGTTCTGACTGCTGACAGTTTGACTAGTCAGGCGCTTTTGTGGGTTTTATTCCTTTTACATGTGTTTAATAGGAAACATTTTTCCTCGCAGAGCTCGAGAGTGCACATTGTCCACATGTGTGTTCAAACTGGCCTGTCAAAGCCTTTGATCTGCTGCAGAAAGTGGCTGAAGGCTTAAAAAGGAAAGAATAAAACAAACCTGTGCTCTTTGCTGTCTGTTGTGTGCATCTTGATTTGCTTTAAAACTTTAATATCTCAGCAGCTTAATTATTTAGCAGCTGAAAGTTACTGCCCCCCCCCTCACTATAGTACAGCTTTCTTGCCAGATTGCATCTCTGAAATAAAAGTGTTCTTTTGGGTTAGGTACACTCATAAAATCCTTTCTGTCTTTTCTACCAGCCAAAGCGATGAAGTGCAAACTGAGCACACGATCCTTTGAAAGGCCCCTGGGGTCCTCTTTGGAAAGGGCAGGCGGCTGCTCTGCCACCTACCAGGGCTCGCTTTCTGCCTCGCTGCAACCCCAAGCTCTGCAGCCAGATCGCTGGGATCTGCCTCTATATCCTGCGAGGGAGCTTCCTCGCACCGAGCTTAAGGGGGTGATGAGCTTACGAGCAGGAAGGGTGATGGGGAAATGCTGCAGTGCTTTCTGGCAGGCTGTGTGGGGGGAGAGGAGAGCTGGGGGTTCTTACTCCTGGCTCTCCAGCTCAGCGGAGCAATCAGCATGCTAATGTCAGAGCAGACCTTTAGACTTCACTTGCCGGTCTCCGTGTGTGTTGTGCATTTGATGGCCGGCGATATTACGAGGAATTACTAGAGCAAGGCTTGAGGATTTTAAAAATTAACGAGTATTAATAATTGAGGATATTGGCATGACCGCATTGTGGCCTATATTTAACATCCTTAACATTTCTCTTCCAGTAAAAGCTGCACGATAGGAATGGTTCTTCGTCTGTGGAGCGATACTAAAATCCATCTTGATGGTGATGGGTAAGAAACCGCATTAAAAGGATGGATGTGAATGTCTTTCCCTGCTGGGGGCTGCTTCAGGAGAGATTTTCTATCACTGTGCAAATGAAGTTCCAATTTTGAATTCACATCTGCAGGTTTTTTGTTCAGACACTGAGGCTTTTTTTGCCCTCAGACTGCTCGGTGGAACCTGTAATACCCAGAAAATGTTTTCTGAAATCCTGCTCAAAGGGTGGAGCTCCCATTCCTGGCAGTACACAGCAGGGGAAGGTGTCCACTCCCCATTTTTTGGGGGGGGAAGATGCTAGAAAATCAGTGATAGAAATTCTCATCCTTGATTTTATTTTTTTGAGTGCTCCTGTAGCTGTCTTGCATTAGCTGTTTGTAGAGCACAGCTTGAGATGCAGAGAAGAGCAGTTTGTGACTGTTTTTTTTTTCCCTCTCTTTCAGTGGCTTCAGCGTGAGCACTGCAGGGAGAATGCACATCTTCAAGCCAGTGTCGGTGCAAGCCATGTGGTATGGATGCTAATTAGCTTTATTGAAAAAGAGGCTCTCATTTCTGTGAATAAATTAAAAACAAACAAACAAACTGCATTTTAGCACTCTCCGTAACTGGAATTTAGTGAGCTGAAGCTGAGATGCTGCTTCCCTGTGTCAGCTGGTAGCAGTACTATAAAGGGACTCTGGGAGTACTGATCTGAAAACAGCATCTTCTGCTTCTGTTTGGAACAGCTGCATGCTCTTTAACACAAGGGCGATGGGAAATGGCACTAATGAAATGTAGAAACGTGAAAGCCCGACTCGATCAGACCCGATCGGGCTGCAAACCCAGTCTTTCCTGCGTGTGCATATTTTTCTGTCTGGAGGAGTCTCACGACCCATTGCCAATCTGATGGCATTTCCAGTTCTCTGCCTCGTTGCTGGGGCTCCTGCCGCCTGGAAACTTTCTGTGCCACCCTGCGATCGTGTTCACCTTTCAGCTCCTGTCACCCCTCCCATGTGCAGGGATTCCAAAACACTGAAGCAGAGAGGGCTGAATCAGCAGCGGCTGTGCCAGCAAATGCCTTCGTGAAGAGGCTGCTACCCTGCCCCAAACAGAACGTGGCCTGGGCAATGTGCTGGTTCCTGTCAGAGCCTCGTAAGATCCTGCTCCTTGGGGCATCTGATAGGAGAAAGATGCAGATGTAGGGAAGGGTGACGTGCTAGGGATGATTTGGTACAGAAACAGATGAAAGTCTCGTTCCTGTCACTTTTGAGCTCAGCCCCTCCCGTTGGCAACCTTAGAGCAGCCTTAGATGTGGTTAATAGCTTCACTATAAGGGCATCTTCAGAGCAGAACCTTTAAAAAAAAATGAAAAAAAGAGGAGGGAATGAAGGAAAAAGTAATGGTAGAATTTACAAAAACAAATGACCCAATTTGGCCCTGTCCCTGGAGCGTGTCAGGGGCCAAGAATGCTGGTAAATATGCATCTGACTCCTTGCTGAAGGTGGTTTGAAAATTGTCCGTATTCTTTATTTTTCTTGGGTCTGGCTTTACAAGTTAGCTAATGATTAGATCCCAGAGTGGCTTGTGCCTTGTGTTTGCCTGTTAATCAGGAGAAAATGTCAGCCTCTGCCTCAGCCCAGCTCTCAGAAGGCCTCCAAGGTGCCTCCTCTGAACTCTGATACAACAAAGCTGCTGCCCTCAGAAAGCAAACTGCAACAAGCAGTGGTGAAAATCTTTTCACTCAGTGAAAACCAGTTGAGATCCTGCTCTGTTTGTTGCTCACGTCTGCACAAATTTGTTCTCCAAACTTGCAGGTCTGCTCTACAGATCCTCCATAAAGCGTGCGAAGTTGCAAGAAGGTACAACTACTTCCCAGGTGGGATGGCCTTGGTCTGGGCCACGTACTACGAAAGCTGCATCAGCTCCGACCAGAGCTGCATCAACGAGTGGAATGCGATGCAGGACCTGGAGTCCACCCGCCCCGACTCCCCAGCGCTGTTTGTTGACAAGTCAGTTCTCAATTTTATTATTTTATCAGAAAAAGTTGGCTTGGCTCACAAAAGAAACCTCACCTTCTCCCTTTCGTTCCTCCTTTCAATTTATAAATATCTTCAGATGTTTTTCTTCCATTATTGTGGTTAAGTTGCTTTTAATGCAAGTCCTTTCCACCATCCCTCTGTCCTGTACAAGTTGCATGGTCTCTGGAGAGCACGTTTACAGCTCAGGAAGGAGACCTCCTCTCTGCTTACTTTCCAGGCCAACTGAAAGGGAACGAACAGAACGGCTCATTAAAGCCAAACTCCGGAGCATCATGATGAGCAAAGACCTGGAAAATGTGACTTCAAAGGAGGTAAATCTACAAATTCCTGCTGATTCTTCCTGCTAGGCTCCTTTTCCAAAGTGTTGTACTGACAGAGACACACCAGATGGCACCTCAGCGCATCCTTGTGAATTACACAAGCCAAGGTAGCGCACTCAAAAGATGCAGTTGGTGGGTTCAGCCCTCACCTCTGCGAGTATACACGGCTGTTTTACATGAGTATCCTGGACTTTACTTGCTCAGGGACAGCACAGAGCAAATGGCGTGCTAAAAACAGCATCTTTATCTTTTTTGGCTTCATCCTAAGGTTTTATTTTCTTTGTTCCTGAACAATGTCAGAGAGGCATACAAGCAAAACTTTTCTGGTGAGCCTCTGGATGAAGAATCATAAGTCAAGGCTAAAACTAGCTTGGATCTGTCCCACAGGGTGATGTAAATGCCTGCATCCGCAGTGCAGGCATTCTCAAAGTAGATGGTAATCGTTCTTTTTGGGTTCAATTTTTGTTTGTTTTGCAAGGAAGGCTGTTAAAATGCAGGGCTCTCCTTCCTAAAGCTTAGCACTGAAGGGCTCGGATGCACTCTTGTGTAACAGCAGCATTACACGGTGTAGGCGTAAGCTGAGAACTCGTCTGCCTGTTTGTGTTCGTAACTCTTGGTGCAGTCAGGATGGTGTGATTTTTTTCCACCATTTTCCAAAGTGTGTTCAACAAATTTGTGTTGCTTTGCGTTACACCTTCTTGAAGCTGAGGTGCAGTGAAAGGACTGTAGGTCTGTGTCGGGACGTTTTGAAAAAGGGAGGCTATTAGAAAGCTTTCCCTTCACCAGCACTGCCACTGTTCACTTCTTAAATTTGTGGGCGTAACATGCTTGGAGAGATGCCACAGTGGGGTTCCTTGTCTCCAAAGGGTCAAATCCCTGCTGCTGTCTTTAATGAAGTATAGAAAAAGTATTTTGTAGAGGACTGCCAATAAATGTTTCTACTGAACAGACATGATTCTAGGTGGCATCCTTTGTTTTCTGCTCTGCAGATACGAAACGAGCTGGAGAAACACATGAACTGCAACTTGAAAGAATTCAAGGAATTTATAGACAATGAAATGCTGCTTATCCTGGGTCAGATGGACAAGCCGTCTCTGATTTTTGATCATTTGTATCTGGTAAGTTGCTGTAACGGGAGCTTCAGATGAGCTGGAGACTCGGTGGGAGGGAGCTGACAAGTCAGGGGGCTCAGGGGGAGCTGGATTTGGTGTCAAGGCTGAATTGTGCAGTGTGAGCAAAAATTACAGCCTGCTATCCAGCCCTCCGTGGGGAATATTCGAGGACTCGTGTTGCTTGTAAAAGCAATGATAATATTATATTTTTTATCAATGGAGATCTTCTTTTTGATATGAACAAAGGGATCTAGCTGCGGGTGCTGCCCTGTGTGGCAATTGGTTGCTTTCTGACTCTGGTGAGGGATCACTAAGTTGGTTTTCTCAGCCGAGCCTATCAAGTTGTGTATGCGTGGCCAATACTACATAAAGACTAAGGCTGAAGGTGATGTGGGTGATGCGCTCTTCGAGTTTTATGCCCAAGCAGAAGGTGTGCGTTGTGTGTGATCTTTTGCCACTAGATGGTACTGCAAGCAAAACCAGGCGCTGCCATCTGGAACAAAGACTTGCTTGAGATGAGCACATTTGTGCCCGTTATGCTTGGGTCACTTCTAGTTTGTTTTTCCTGGAGAGCGTCAGAGGAAATGTTGATGTTTGGGGGCAAAAACCTGCTTTTTTTTCTTTTAAACCCTTTCTAACTTTCTGTTTTGTGGATATGGCGAGATCCAAGGTAACCACTCCCAGAACTTTCAGGATTTGCCTCGCTTCTCATCTACCTGTGATGACAGTCATGCCATGTGTAATTACTTGTTACTTGTCTTTTTCTGCACTATTTATCTCCGTGGTTAAAAATCCAGAGTGTCCAGGCCACGACAACATGGGATAAACAGTTTCTGACTCTCATGTCATACAGGATTTTTTTCCTGCACAGCCTCTCTGCCTTGTAGTCCTTGATTCTTCTGATTTCAGAGGGACTGGGAACTGTCCTCGTACTGCATTTGGGGATGAGCCTGGTGGGGCTGATAAAATAATCCAGGCAGCATCCTGCACTCCCCACAGCATCCCAAAACCGCTGTGCTAACTGTGCCCTTCAGCGGCTACTAGCAGTATTTCAGTTGACAGCTGAGGAGTATTGCTGAGCCTGGGGCACTGCAGAATTTTGGAAAATAGGGAGGGTCTCAAGCTCCTTTGAAACGTGACTTATTGAAATGTGACTTACCCGTGGCTGTTGCAGGGGTCGGAGTGGAACGCCTCTAACCTGGAGGAGCTGCAGGGCTCGGGGTGAGTACCGCTCCTTTCGGGCTCTGAATCCTCCACTCCTTTGGGACCTTGATTAGGAAGTCTTTCCTAACTCATTTCCATTACAGGGGGAGTGAAAATAACAAATTTTTTCATTTTTGAAGTGTATCAGGATCTCTGGCACACGCACACCGCATGTAGCAGCCAAGTGTGCGCTGGACAGGCGTAGTGTTGTGTCAGGTGGGGATTCCTGCAGGCTGTGGAAGAGCAATTACAGCGCTGCGTTTAGGAAAAACTATTGAAATGGAGCAGAACTTCCTGGGGATGAGCAAGCTCCGTCTCACCTGCCCAGACAGGCAGCTGCAGGGCTGTCTTTCACCACGCTCTCATCACCGCACCGCTTCTTGGCGTGATTTACTCTCATGCTTTTTGGACGAGTGAGAGTTCTGCAGCGTACAAATATCTGCTGCTTGCCCAAGGCATGCACCAACCCTGACATGAGAAACTGAAAATTATTGCTCAACAGCATGACTAAAAATGTTTTAGTTTGGAGTCCTTGGGAACAGATGCCTGAACATCTTTAAGCAAGGAAATCGACCGGCATGTTAATACTTCTGATCTGTGCTGAGGGTATCGTGACGTGCAGAGTCCAAATGTCAAAGCTGGACAAATTCTGAAAGAAACACCCCGTGCCCTTGATTTGTCTGAATGGTGTAAAATAATAAATCATTTGGTGTTTGTTCTCTCAGGGTACATCATAAACCTTGCTGTAATATTTGGCAGGAATCAGGGGGATGCCATGTGGCTATTATTTCATATTTTTGGTCAGGAAGAAGAGAAGAGGTTGGTTTTGTAGCTAAAGTTGAAAATTGTGATTCCTGGGTTCTGCTCCCAGCTTTTGCCCAAAAAAAGCTGGGATGCTGAAAGAGAAAGTGTGCAGCAAACGGTGGGGAGTTGGAGCAGGCTACAGAGCCTTGGGAGATGGGCTGAAATCAGCTTCTCCCTCTCGTGCCCATGGTCTTGCTGCGTTGAATGGGATGTACAGGTAGTGAGAGATGAGTGACTCGACAGGCCCTGCATGTCTTGTGTGTGATTTGTCATAATCTGTCCCAGGGGATCAGGATTAAGGCTGTAGGTAAAATCTGACAGCTCACGTTTTGTCAGACTTCATGGACTTCGTGTGTGTTGGTTCCCCTTTTGTGCCCGTGGTGGTTCATCTCTAATTTTCCTTCTCCGCAGCATTGACTACATTTTGAATGTGACCAGGGAAATAGACAACTTCTTTCCTGGGTTGTTCGCCTATCACAACATCCGGGTGTACGACGAGGAGACCACGGACCTCCTGGCTCACTGGAACGAGGCGTATCACTTCATCAACAAGGCCAAGTAAGTGGGCTGGGAGACGTGGCACAGTGTGAGAGCACAGCCGAGCCCCAGCAGAGACTGCTTCAGCTCTGGGTGATGACAATGACACCGTGCCCTGCCTGCTGGACCCTCCTGGAGCCACACCACAGCCGAAGGTGGCAGCGGGGCTTTTGTCACATCTTTTTCCAGGGGCTTTCTGTGTCCCTGGAGCTTCCGTGTTCTTTGTCTCTTCCGGCACAGACCTGCTCCTCGCCTGTGGTTGTTATTTATTACTGTTATTTTATCTTGCTTCCAAAAGGAAACGAGGACATTTCCTCTGCTTGAGGTGTTCTGGAAATATTCCAACACGTGTCCTTGTTGGGACAGCCCAAGAGATGGGGACAGAGCCCACGAAATGCTTCTGGGCCTTTACACTCGGGTTGTTCCTGCTCATTCCTGTGTCCAAAGACTTGGGCAGGCAGGCAGGGGGCTTTGTGCTGGTCTCTGAAACAGCAGCATGACTGAGGCTGCCCTTCTCTACCTCTTTATTTTTCTGGAGAGAGGTTCTTCTGCTGGCCACCTTAGTCCAAAACATTTCTCACCTACTAAGCTCTGGCCTTAGGGTGGTCAGGAGGACAAAGCACTGCCCTGCTACCGTTTGCATGCTGACAACAGGCACAATAGCCAGAAAGATGAGACATTTTCCTTTTCTTCCTGCAGGAAGAATCACTCCAAGTGCCTGGTGCACTGCAAAATGGGCGTGAGCCGGTCGGCATCCACTGTCATAGCTTATGCAATGAAGGAATTTGGCTGGTCACTGGAAAAGGCTTACAATTACGTGAAGCAGAAACGCAGCATTGCAAGACCAAACGCGGGCTTCATGAGACAGCTTTTGGAATACGAAGGCATTTTAGATGCAAGGTAAGGCGACGGAATGAATGGAAAGGAAATAAAAAGACCTGGTTGTGAGCAACACCTCCGGTGTTTCGGCATATCACAGAACATTGATGGGGCTCCGTGGATTTCTGTTCAGGCAGTAGGTTCCTCTGCCACTGAGCACAACACGTGCTGCAGTACAAGGACGGTGACAGAGCACGCATGGTGGGGTGTTCTGAAGGCAGACCACCATGCAGAGGGGATCCCCTCTGAAGGGCAGATGCAGAAGCCTGGGCTGATTTGTGCTTTTCTAAACCTTTTCTATGCCAGGCCTCCGCGGATGGAAATTAGCTGTCTGCTAGGGAGATCTGCTCTGGTTTAATTCATTGAGGGTTTCTCTGTGCCTGGGAAGCGTGTTTGGATTTCTCAGCAGCCAGCACTGCTCAGCAAAACATTGTTCTTGTTTTATGAGGCAGAACTGAGCTCGGGCAGTGTTGGAGGCACAGCGCTCGCAGTTCTGGGTGACCATGCCAATCATGAGGCTTTATCACTGCGAGTGCTGTGGTATCCAGTGAGGGTTTCTGCATGCTCGACTTGGCCCTCTGCTCTAGCGGGGAAAGAGGAGGGAAAATTTTCACTCAGGTTCAGCAGAAATTGCCCTGGGATGTGGAGAGGTGTTGGTTCAGGGCGTTTCACACTGGCAGACGTCTCTGTTCCCATCGTGTGTGTGGAGCAGGGCCCTGCCAGGGGTCTGCTGGGCCAAAGAGCTGCTGGAGGAGGCAGGCGTGATGGGCGAAGGGCTGATGCTAGAGGTGGCTTTGCCTGGGTGGGAATGCAGACCTGCGTTCACCAGCCAGCCTGGCTGTTTGGGGTGGTGAATCTCCTCTTTGTGAAGAGAGGGAGGGGAGCTCCTGCAGCCGAGCAGCCTTCAGCTTACACCGTGGCTGTCAGCAGCAGCTTAACTGTTCTCACTCGCCTCTCTCTGTCCTTCCCCCCAGCAAGCAGCGCCACAATAAGCTGTGGAAGCAGCAGGCGGAGAGCAACCTCCCTCAGAACACAGACGGCAGCACGGGCTCGGGCGACTTCTTACTCGAGAGCTTGGACGTCGACCTGGAAAACCGCCTGGCTGACCTGGACACCCCGTCGCAGTCGGTGTACCTGGACAACCGAACCGGCCCCGAAGTGCCTGTGGGGTATAATTATTGCTTCCGCCGCCTCTCGGACACGCTGCTGGAGAACAAGGTGCCCGGGGACAGGGAGAGCTTCTTCCATGTGGAGGAGCTGGAGCGGGACGCGCTCACGGAGCGTGCCACCTCGCTGGTGAGGCAGCCTCTGCCCGTGCTTTCGGAGGGGAGGCCGGAGGTGGCGAAGGGCCTGGAGGCAGCGGAGGCGCTGTCGGAGCTGAGCGGCTTCCAGGAGGCGAAGAAGAAACTGGACTTCAGCCCCCGGAAGGCACGGCTGGTGCTGGGCCCCGGGGAGCCCGGGGAGGATGGTATCAGGGAGGAAAACCCGATGGAGAAGTGGAAGCGCCGTTTGTCCATGCACAAGGAGGAGAGCAGGCTTAATAGAGAGAACTTGAATAACAACAACAGCAAAAGGAGTTGCCCAGAGGATTTTGAGGTGCGTATGGAGTTGAAACCTAGGTGATTAGCATGGCTGACTCTACTGCAAGTGAAATTGCTCTTCTCATCTTCATAGCACGGTTTCATTTGACTTGGATAAAGCCTTTCATTCCATGATGAGCTGCTTCCTTTTCGAAGTGCTTCTGAACATGGCTTTGCTTGCCCGAGCTATGGATTTAGATGCCAGAGAGCGAGCACACAGGTGTGAGCACACTGTAAACTGCTTTGGGCAACTTGCTTGCATGACCATCGCTCAGACCGGTAGGTATTCTTCCACTGAACGTACTGTCTGCTGGGAAAGTGCGTGGCTTTTGTTCCTGCTGCAGGGCCTGAAGAGCAGTGAAATGGGTTTCCTTTCAAAGCTGTAAATCTGTGTTACAATTTGTGCCTCTCTCTCTCTGCCGATGTGGCTCTGCGCACATTTACCTGTTCCTGTTTTCTCTCTTGCAGCACGATGCCGTGTTTGGGATCCTCAGCAAAGTCAAACCCCCCTACCAGTCGTGTGCTGACTGCATGTACTCCTCGGCCAGTTTGTCTCCCTGACTCCTTCGGGGAGCAGTGCGAGAAGCTGAACCCCGGCTCCGCCCGTCACAGCTCCACCATCTGCACGCAGCCAGCCCTCCTCTCCCACATCCCCTCCGGCTTGGCGGACCACCTGCCCAGCAAGGGGCGCGTGGAGGAGGGAATGAGAACTAAAAATAACGAGGCTTCGCTTCCTCTGTCAGCGGGAACTGGCACTTTGGAAGCTGGTGCTTGTAAATCGGTGGCTGAGCAGCACTGCAGCCTTGCAGAGAAAGGAAAAGACGCACCAAAAACCCCGGTCAAAACCCTGCAGCCCAGGAGAAACTCACACTGTGACAAGAGCCTCCTTAGTGCAGAAGTGGTGAAAGAAGAGTCCCTAGCCAGAAAAGACATCAAACCCACCAAGGATCTGAAGTACTTGCTGTTCAGTAAAGACTTGGAAAAGCCGACTGCGAACAGCTACTTAATGCAGCATCAGGAGTCTCTCATTCAGCTGCAGAAAGCGGGCTTGGTCAGAAAACACACCAAAGAACTGGAGCGGTTGAAAAGCCTGCCCTCGGATGCCTCCTCCCTGCTCAGAGAGGGCTCCCTGAGCAGGGCCGAGCCCAGCATCGTGGAGGAAAGCGAAGACCTGATCTCACAGCACGGCCTCGTGCCCCTTCTGAGAGCAGCGCCGCTGATACCCGAAGATGCCGAAAGCGAGGCGAAATTAGAGGTGAAGCGCTTGCTGGAGGGGATCTCCCAGAAAACCTCCACGCCGGTCGTGTGCAGGTTGGAGCACACGAGCAGCTTCACCAAGGACTTCCTGAAGACCATCTGCTACACCCCCTCGTCCTCGCGGAGCTCCAACCTGACGCGCAGCTCCAGCAGCGACAGCATCCACAGCGTGCGGGGCAAACCCGGCCTGGTGAAGCAGCGAACTCAGGAGATCGAGACCCGGCTGCGGCTGGCGGGTTTGACTGTGTCAGTCTCCTCTGAAGAGATCCAATTCCCTCGCCAAGCTGGGCTGTCTGAACTTGTCCTCCGAGGATTTGTCCAGCGACATGGACGTGTCGACCATAACGGACTCCAAAGAGGCCGTTTCCAGCGAGTCTTCCGTGCTCTGTGAGCCGCAGCCCGCTCCCAGGGGTGTGGACGCCAGCTCCAAGCTGGCAGCGAAGCCAGCGGTGGGCAACTTGAAGAATACGCTTTGGATGGGCAAAAGTTGATGCCTTCTATGGGGGGGAGGAAGAGGGAGGCTGGATTTCTGGTTTCTGTTGTTTTTTATGGCGTTTACTCGTTGCACCGATGCAGTCCCATCCTCTGACTTCATCTGACGCCGCCTCTTCTTCCCCTCCGTGTACTCCTCAGCGGGGAGAGAAAGAAACGCGATGGGTCACGATGAATGGCACAAGGGAAAATAAAATGTGTTGCATGGCTTAGAAGAGGACTGTGTGTGAATTGCCTGTTGTCCTGCAGGATGCTGTTTCTAGTACTGTTTGCCAAGTATAATAATGTGGTGTTGTGTGTGTCCATATATAGATAGAGCCGTGCATCTCGCCATCTATCTATATATATAAAATGCTGAAATGCTCCGTTTCAAAGTCTCTACAAAAATAATTAGTCATGACTTTTTTTTTTTTTACAGAACCAACACAAGTTTCTAGCTAAAACAAGCGCTTGTGGAAAAATCCTTAAAATGGTGACATGAACACTACCTCTGTTCTCGCTGACTTTCAGTCTTGGTTTGTTTTTTCGTTTCTGTCAGAGGCTTTTCCCACAGCGCTTACCGTTGACCGAAGGTGTTCCCTTGCTGTTAACTGTAAAGTCCTGGAGGCGTTTGGCCGGGCTTTACTGCACTGAGTGCTCTCGTCACGTGAAGGAGTGTGAAGCTGTGTTCGTGTGACCAGGTGAATTGTCGTTGTCTCATGTTGGTGACGGAGCAGCACCCGGGCCGTGTTGCTGTCGGAGGCTGGTGCTCCCGTGGAGAGGTGTCTTGTCCTTTGGGTGTTGTTGCTGTCGTTGTGGTTTGTTCACGTCCTGGTGATAAGGACGAGCCTGGCCAGCGAGTGACTGCAGACCCTCGTGGCGGTGGGGACCCTTGGTGCAGGCTGTCGGTGGCATGGGGTGGCTCTCGTGGTGCCCTGAAAACCCCAGCAGGCAATAGGTGAGCGTGCATCTTCTGCTGTCCTTGGGGGCTGAGGATCAGTTCCTGTGCCCTCGCTTTCCCTGCAGCCTGTGGCAGTGGGGAAATTCCCGTAGGGCTGCCAGGGGGTGAATCCTGCTCTCCCCTGGGGGTGCACGCAGGGTTTGGGGTCTGGCAGAGGGCAGTGGTACAGCAGGGTGCTGTGAGCAGCCAGAGCTGTGCAGGGTGGCTCACGAACACCGGGTTCCTCCCCGTGGCACTGCAGCCACCCCATCGGGTGAGGCTGCCAAAATTATGGCTTCGCTCGGGTGGGATTTGGCCACCGGAGAGCAAGTCCTGGTGCAGAGACCGTGCTGCCTCCTCCATCACCCTGACCTGAGCACGAGCCTCGGGCTTCAGACCTTCACCACCAAGCAGAAAAATGGGCTCACAGTGGAGAGAGTGGAGCAGCAAAGGCACGGGTGAAGGAAGAGCTTGGGAAGCACACAGGGGACGTCCCCACGTCCCCCCCAGACCCGTGACAGCCCCCGCTCCTTCAGGGCATAGCTTGAAGCAGGCCTGGGGGGCAAAGCAGACCCTAAAACCCAGAACTTTTTTTTTCCCTCGAGTACAAGACCCCGCTCGTTTATATTAACAGTGTGAGGAGTTACGGGGACTGGGAATCAGTAAATGTGTCCCTCTTTAAGGACTCTTAAATTTCAGTGGACGTTTTGGAAGCCACGCTGCCTCCTGTCCCGTGAAAGGTGCTTGGAAGCGAAGCTCAACGTGAGGGAACCCGGAGGAGATGCGAGTCCTGGCCTTGTTTAGGGTGGGAATCGGGGGCTCGTTTTGGACCCAAACCTTCCCCAGTGCTCCGTGGCTGCCCGAGGTGTCCTGGCCCCCAGGGGTTCACGGTCCCCGCGGTCGTATCCCCGTTGCTGTCCGTGTCTGTGGCAGGTCCTGATGCCTGTGGGTGGCAGAGGGACAGGCAGCGGGGACGCTGGGGCTCTGCCTGATGCCCGCAGGCTCCGTGCAGCCCCCCCAGGGCCCGTTTTGGTGCCGTGCTCCCCCCGCAGCCCCCAGCACACCCTGGCAGCCCTGAGGCTTGCAGGGTCCTCTCGCATTTCCCAGCCCTGCGGACACCTCCCTGCACTCCCCATCGCTGCCCGGCCAGGGAAGAAGCTCAGAAAGACGCCCCGAGCTGATGCAAGCGCCCACGTTCGTTTCCTTCCCGTTTTCTTGAGTGCCTGCCCAGCCCTGCTGTGCGCTGACCGCTGGAGCCCGGCGGTGCCACCGATGCCACCGGGCAGGGACCTCCTTCAGGAGCCGTGCTCACGGCCAACGTGTGCTAGGAGCACTCGTGTGCCATTTCGGGGGGGGGTTTGTAGCCAAACCTGACGCTTGCAGACTTCGTTAGATTTGTTGCATGAGAAGGTAGATGTCTTTTTTTATTTTATTTTTTTTCCTCTTCCACGTATCGTAATTGTTCTTTTCCAATGGAGTGCCTTAAGAATAGTTTACAAATACTGTGTATTTATGCTGAGCTGTTAAACTCCGCTGTTTTGCTGTTCATATTTTATTATTTTTTTGGTGCTTTTGGTGTATCCGGTGGCAGTCTCAGACCGTTACCACTTCCTCACGACGACCTCCCAGCCCGCAGGGCTCGGCGCTGCTCCACGCTTCCCCTCGGCCCGGCGCAGGGTGCCCCCCGTTTATCTATGCATTGTTTAATTGGGGAGGGTCTGGGGGTGCTCAGCCAATTCCCAGGCACGGCCCCTAACCCGGCCCCATCCCAGAAAACCCCAAATGCACCAAACTGGCACCTTATTTCCAGTCCCGGGCGCTGTCGGGCCGTCTGATGCCCCCGGGGTGTCCCGGCTGGGGCTGGGGGGTGGGTGAGTCCCGTGGAGCCGTCCCCGTGCATTGCTGTACTCTGTGGTAACCGTGTTCCTCTTATTCCATCCTATTTCTTACTTCTGGTTTTATATTTAAATGCGCAGGATCTTTTTTGTACTGTACGTTCGCGGTAGGGGACGCAAAATGCACTTTTTTTTTTTTTTTTACCTTGGTTTGTAAAAACGTACTGTATATTTTATGTGCTTCTCGTGAGAAAAAAATAAACTTTTTTTTTTTTTTTTTCCTTTTACAAACGTGGTTTGCGGTGGTTTTGGGGGGTGGGGAAGGATCACCCTGGCCATGGGGAACGATGGGGTGGAAAGGGAAGGATGAGACCAGCGTGAAATATCCAAGCAGTGGCCGCCCCCTGGCTCCCATCTCCCTTTCCCCATGAAATCTCTTCCCAGCTCTGCTCCCGGCTGCTCTCTGCCTCCTTTGGGTCCTGGCTTTCTTCTGCCATGCCAAAAGCTGGACCGGGAGCTGCTTTTGTCCCTCCTGGTTGTGTCCTTGCCGTGTTGGATGCGTTTTGGCTGCCCTGCTGGGACGGCGAGCAGCACAGAAACACACCCGGCTTGTGGCTGGGGCTCACCTGCGGGTTTTTTTCAAGGGGAAAAGGGAACAAAACACAAATACGCTTAAATCCCGGAGGCAGAAAAAGAACTGAAATCGGTATTTCTCTGTCCAGCCTCATTTCTGGCTCTGAGGACCAGCAGGGCAGCCACATCGCAGCGACGCCTGCTCCGTGCCGAGCCGTCCCCATGCAGGGAAAGGATTTATTTGGAGAGGGTCTCGGTGCACCGGGGGCTCTGCGATCCCATTCCTGCCCAATGCTCTCCTCCAAAAAGCAAAAACCCAGCGTGGAAGCCGGGGAGCTGAATCTCCTGCCCCGAGCCCAGCCTGCTGCCGCCCCCCGATCCGCCCGGCCCGGCCCTTCCTGGGCATCCACCAAATTTTGCCTTTAAAGGCAAACAGCGAGCGGCGGCCCCGCAGCCCTGCGAGGAGCCTCGGTGCTGCCCGGGATTGTTCTCGCTCTCGGAGCCGCTTCGGGGAGGAACATGTCAGTGTTTACCTTGGCAGGGGAGCAAGGCGCAGGCTGGGGATGCTCTCCGCTCTTGGCACCCTTTGCTAATTGCCTCAACGAGTTGTTACCCCCCCCTCCCCCCCAGCCACCCGAAATGTTTGCTTTTTAGGTTTTTGGGTGCTGTTTTGGGCAGGCAGCATCCATCACCTACCTGCTAAGGGCAGCCAAGCCTCGAGTCCTGCCTGCCCTTCTCATTCGAGTGGCAGTGGGGTGAATTAAATGATTTATCTCCCCCCCATAGGGCAAATCGGCTGTAAGGAGCGAGCCTTGGGGTGGGCTTGGGGAGTTTTGGGTCTGCTGAGCCCTGAGAGCACCTCGGCGGGCACCGAGCCCTTGAGGGGGAGCTGTGAGAGCCCCCCCGGCCCCACATCAAACCCCACCGGGGACACCAGGCTCTGTTTTTTTTTTTTGTTTTTTTCATTCTGGTGTTGGAGGAGCAGCGGCCCAAATTCACATCCTGTTGTGATGTTGCCATGGCAAAGCCCGGGCAACATCTGGAGCCACCGCGTTCCCTGCGAGGGCCGTCAGGGCGTTATTTATATCAATATCTTTATACAGCCCCCGTGGGCAGCTCGTGGCTGGGGCGCAGCCGGGTGCCGGGCTCCCCCCCGCCCCCCCCAGCCCATCCCGGCTGCACGATTTGGGGCTGGGGGACTGCAGGGCTGGGGAGCGGGCGTCAGGGATAAATCATTTCCAGAGCAGAGCCTTGGAGGTGGCACCGCCCGGCTGCTGCCCCCCTTTTGTCCCGGTGGCAGCACCGAGGATGCTCGGGGAGCTGTGGCTGAGCTCACCCCGTTGGTGCCAACCTCGGCCCCCGTCCTGGCACCGCCGCTGCCCTAAAAGCGTCCTCCCCTCCGGCTCGAGGGCCGGGTGGCAGCAGCGTGGCCGTGGTTGCCATTTCCTTTTATGCAGACAGCCCGGGAGCGGGCACGGCGCTGCTCCCCCGTTGGGTTTTTGGAGTTCGATGAGCAGCTCCCAGGGGAAAGCAGCGCGGCCACAATCCCTGGAGGCTGCTCCCGGGCTCGGGGCTTTTTCCCCTCCGTGCTTTGCCCGCAGAGCTGGGGGGAAGCTCTGTGCGCCTTGGTTTTGCTGAGCTCCTCCTGGCAGGCTGGGGGGTGACAAAATTGGGGTGCTCCAACCCTGCTGTGCGCCTGGCAGCCCCGAAATCAAGAGAATGATTTTTGGGAATGATTTGGGGCTCATCGTTTGGGAGGAAGAGGAAATCAAATCGGTTTTGCTATGGGCAAGCAGGGCATTGCCTCAAAGAGAAAAAACTGAGTTATCAACCAAGCGTCTGGTGCCCATGGAGGGGTTTTTTTGGGCAGCCTCGGCGGGGACAAGAGGTGTTTGGTCTCGCTGTGGAGCAGCTCCACCGGCAAGGCTGATAAGGAGCGGGGCAGGAGCCGTCCCTGGCATCCTCCCACGCTGACCCGGGGGTAACGCAGGAAGCAGCACCCTCCGGCGTGCCCTTTGGGACAATTTAGGTGTTTTTTTTTTTTTTTTTTCCGCATCCCAGCTCGGGATCCTTCCCTGGGGCCGGACAGGCGTCCGGCAGCGTTGGACCATAAAAGGCAAAGCGCCGCGGAGCCGCTGCCATGCCAGGCATCCACGGCTGCGTGGCCGGGGCCCGAGCCTTGCAGCCCCCCCCTGCTCCCCCCTCCACAGCCGCCGGGGGATTTTCAGGAGCCTGCTTGGCAGCAGCAGCATCCGAAGGGAGGCCCGTCCCGCTCGGAGGCTCGTTTGGAGAACCCCCCGGCACATTAGCAGGGAATTTTTGAGGAGTTTCGGCTCGCAGGCTCCTAAGGGGGGCTCGTATCCGAGGATGCTGTTGGGTTTTGCTGTTTATTTCGGGTGTAATTCTCCTGCCCCAGTAATTCCCCGAGCAATATAACGTATTCCTGCTGATAAGTGCAGCCACTCCGTGTCTCCGCGAGCTTTACACGGAGCGTCTCCAGCCCCGGGGGCCCCGTGCCAGCACCGCGCTGCTTCCCAGCAAGGAGAGGGCTTGGGGGCACTGGGGGGGGTGCCAGGCTCTGCCCAAAAATCCACAGCAGAGCCGAGGGGGGCGATCCCGCTGCAGCGTTTGGCCTGGCACCGCATCAGTGCGAGCAGCGAGAGCGGAGGGGAGCCGGGGTGCGTCGCTGCAGCGGGCTGGGGAAAGGAGGAGAGGCCCCGGAGAGGGATGAGCAGCGAGTTTTGGCTGTGAGGGGCCATGGGCTGGCCGAGGAGAAGCTTCTGCGGCTGCTGGGGTGGGCTCGGCCGGGGTAGGGAGCGGCTCTGTGCCGGGAGGGAGCCCCCTGCCCCGTTACCGGCCGTGCCAACGTGAATTTCCCACCCCGGCTGGCCGTGAGGCTGCGAGGCTGCCGGTTCACATGCCCCGGGGCTCGGAGAGGTTTCCAAGCTGCCCCCCGTGTCTCTCCAGGCGCCGGAGGAAGGAGAAAGGCGGTGCCGGAGCTCTGCCGAGCCCCAAGGTGGGAAGAGAGCCCGGGCGGGTGGACCGGGGATCACGGGGAGCGAGCTGGCAGCCATGGAAGCATCCACCTGGCAGTCCCGCGGATATTTACGGGATGACACAAGTCAGGCACGAGGCAGAGACTGCGCCACGTCCCGGGCAGCCTCTGCAGTGGCATGCCAGGATTACGCCCTGCTGCAGCAGAGTCCGCGCGGCCAGGAGGGCCTGGGGCACCTTCCCCAGCCCGCGGCCGAGGCGCACGTCCCTGCCGGGGCCCCGATGAGCGGCAGCAGCTCGGATGAAGGCGCCGCACGGGCAGCGAGGGGGAGAGGGGAGGAAGGAGAAGCCCCTCCGAAGGTGTACGAGATGCAGGTCGGGCACAGGTGGCCGGGCTCCGGCCGGACGGTGAAGCCCGTGGTGTATCGGCTGGAGGAGAGCGAGTACCGGCGGCTGCTGCAGGAGGCAGAAACGGAGCCCGAGGAGGAATGGGAGGCGGAGTGCGAGGTACCTGTGCTCCAGGAGAGCTACCCGGGGAACGGGAAGGTGGCGAGTCCGAGCCTCAAGAGGATCAACGCCTTGCAAGGAGCCCTGCGAGGGCAGCTGAGCCGCTCGGACTCGGAGAGCAGCCTGGAGAACCGGGCGGTGAATAAAGCCGTGCCGAGCTGCCCGGCGGAGGGGAACAAACCCAGCGTCCCCATCAGGTCCGACAGCTTCGAGCGCAACGCCTTGCTGATGGATTACATCCTGCAGAGCAAGCAGGAGGCAGCGGCAGCCGTTCCCCACCTCCCCAGGGACGGCAGCAAGGCGGCCGAAGGCTTCAGGCAGGCGCTGGGCTTCGCCCCGCCGCCCGGCACCACCACCCCGGACCCTTGCCAAAACGGCGAGGAGGACGCGGTCAGGAAGCCCGAGCTGGACTGGCAGGTGGCGAAGAGCCTGGAGAGGATGGTGACGGTGGCCGCGGCGGCGAGAGACGCCGGGAAGCTTTCAAGGCAGAACAGCAGCCAGCTCCTGGAGAGCAGGGAATGGCTGGAAGAAGTGGATTTGGAGCTGTTGGATTCGTACAGCGTGAGAAAAACCCCTCCGGCCCCTCCGGTCAGGTCGCACAGCAAAGAGAGTTTGGCTTTGAGCATGAGCAAGACGGTGGCGCTGACCGAGGCGCTGCTGGAGCCCTGCAGCTCCCTGGCAAAGCCTGCCAAGGAGCAGAGGGCGGCCGCGGGCGAGCGCGGCGCGGAGCAGCCGGCGGGAGGGAGGGCGCCGGGAGGAGGGGGCCCCGAGGAGCAGGAGCGGAAGGGGAGGAAGAGCCAGGAGGAGGATGAGAAAGTGCTCAAGGTCGCCGACGCCAAGAAAACCTTCGAAAAGGCAAAGGCAGCGGAGGGGAAGGCGGCGGC